ACAGTGTAAATAATAGCAGTGGCCAAAATGAAGGTTTATTGTGATGTGGATTAGGATCATTTCAGTTCAAATGGATATTAGATAATTGTGGCTGCAGAAACAGCAATTCCTACTGATCGTTTGCTGTGCATAGTAACATTGTGGAGGAAAAAAATCTTACTTGATTTGACTATCAGCTACCATATCAGTTATTTTTTGGACTTTCTATAGTATATACCATTGAATACCCTAAGGCATGTATTTGATTTAGTTAATCAAATTTAATTAAATGAGGACAAATGAAGTTTGTCTTTGAAATTTTGTTTTTATTTCCTATGGAGTCTAGTATAGTGCTTTATATAAGATACTTTCTTTCAATAAACTTTTCTTAAATTAATGAATAAAAGTGCAGACTCTCAGATTTCCTGTCCATGGAGTTATTGGCAGTTAGCGGCCCATATCTTATCTTGTCACTAATGTTGCTTTTACCTGACTTAAATTTTCGTTGCTTTCTAAGTGAGATGTTTAGTTGCATTGCATTGTATTTCATCTGTGGCCTAGTGAGAGAAAGTAACATTATGGGGACAAGGATTTATATGTTTGCTAAAGAAAGCATGGAGATGTTTTTCATGTTTTCATTTTATTTTTTTACATAGGCATGCAGATTTACGTGCCAAGTGGCAACTGGGATGCAACAGGCCCCCAAGTCACTTTATATTGCTGGGTTGTGTGATATGGGTAGTATTCTTTTTAACATGTAAAAAAAGTTTTAACATATTAAAAAAGTACATAGCTAAAATGTAATATTCATCCCAAATTTATAGCCATTCAACTGAAATTGATTCCTCTATGCTTCCTTTGCTAGATTTTATTTCAAATTTTAAGTGGAAGTGTCTCTTTGATGCAACACTCTCCAACTTGCCAGTAGAAGATGCTTTGTAACATAAAATTGTTTCTGAACTGAAATGCATTATAAAGCTCATTACAACCCACTTTCCTGGAAACGTAAAACTAATTTATCTAATGCACTCCAAAATTCTCCATAAATGTATCACACAATGTGAAATAATGTTAATTAGGAGGAGAGACAAAACATAATACATTTTCTTTAAACTATGCAATTAGCATAACTTTCATTAAGATGGTATAATAACTACAATTATTTTCATTTGTACTTTTTGGTAGAATTTATCTTCATTAGAAGTGTATAGTCTTGTAGTCTAAAAAAAAAAAAGCATGGAGAAATGTTTTCAAAGGCATTTGGGCTAATCCTCACTGTCCTCCCCATCACTCTCAAGTGACCCCAAGAGCAACTGCCCATTGCTCAGGGTTTCTGAATGCTTTAGGGGAACTATTTTTACCCAAAGTCAGGCACTCATCTGGGAGAATCATTATGATCCATGGAAAGTCTTAAGATAGGGAGTTTGTAAAATCAAAATGAACAGCGATGAAGTTTGTAACTAAGGCAATGTTTGTGGAAATAGAAGAATGGGGGAAGAATACAAGAGACTTTACAGAATATGGTGACTGGATTGATTTGGAGCAAAGAAAAGACTGGAATAAAGATGAATACTGGAACTCCCATGTGGATGCACTTCAATACAGGGGGGACCACCCCAAAACTCAGAACTTATTTATAAAAAATTGTGTATTTATTCTTACATGTTTAAACTTCATTCTTTTTTCAAAGTACTTTCTGTTTGATGCAGTGCACCTATAGAGATGCTTTCCCCACTGCTCAGAACAGTTTTTGAACTTGTCAATTTTGATGCCTTTTAGTGCTTCTGCTGTTTTTTGTTTCACCTTTTGCACATCGGCAAAATGTTTCCTTTTGAGGATTTTTTTCATCCAGGAAAACAACAACAACAACAAAATTGCTCAAGGCAAGATCAGGTGAACAGGGAGGGTCAAAAATTGCTGAACACTGAGTGTGGTGTGGGCAGGTGTGCTCGTAAATCACCCATAAGGAAATGCGCACATGTGTTGAAAGAATCTCTGGAAGAAAAAAAAAATCCCTGAAGCTGAACGCAGCCCCTCACAGCAATACTAGCTGGTACACTGATGCTGGTGGATTCCTAGAACACTTACCTAGCAGCAGAAGCCTGTACTACAAGGGATCTGCCCTCCAAAAATATAATTCTGGGATTTTTTGGATCACCCCTTATATATATATCATCAGACCTATGTTTCCAAAATAAGATAATGCCAGTTCACACTTCTTGCCACTCATAGATAGTGATAGTGATTTTGAGACTAGGCATTTTAGCATTGGACATTTTATTAATGTGTCATATGCCTACTGTGTTTATGCCTAGTTTGGATGTATTTTATTAAAATTATTAACCGTCTATGTCTGAGGAAGCGAAAAGCAGTAGGTGTTGAAATTACTAGTAACAGGAGATAGAAAAATATGACTATGATGTTAAAGAGATTAAAACAAAAATTGAAGATCATGAGAAAAATGTTAGAAACCATATTTGTAGAAGAGATGAATTCATTGACAGTAGGAACAACTGTGGGAAGAATTCATCATGCCACTTGTGAAGATTATTCTGTATTTCACAGTACCAGAGTAGATAAAAATTAAATAGCCAGATGAGGGGGAAAAAAAAAAGAGGAAAACTGATTATTGGAGTGTGTGTCTGGAAGATTAGTGTTACTAGTGAGTCCCCACTAGCGCAGTGTTCTTTTAAGTGAAGTCTAGAAGTTGTCTCAGATGGGAAGGAGCAAGAATATTGGAAGAGCTGAGGTAATCTTTATTTTTTTTGCAAGACATGGCCCCATAGGTTCAAGGACTCTTTGTATGTACACAGTATGAAAGTGATTATAGACATGGCATGTGGAGATGCCATAGCTTTTATGCATTCCCTGTGAGGGTTAGAAAGGGGAAGGAGGGAAAGAACATACCCAGTGGCAGAAGTCAGAGTAGAAAGGTATGTACTAGGAATATGCCTAGAGGAACTCAAATCATTCTACAAAAAAAGACACCTGCAGATGCATGTTTATTACAGCACTACTCACAATAGCAAAAATTTGGAAACAACCATGCTGCCCACTGAAACTGGACTGGATAAAAAAAAAGTGAAAAGTGATACATATACACAATGGATTATTATGCAGCCATAAAGAAGGACAAACATATGGAGTTCACAGCAACTTGGATGGATTTAGAGTCTATCATACTCAGTGATCTATCACAGAAATGAAGAGCAGAATACCACATGTTCTCACTCATAAGCAGATCTTGAGCATTTACTGTAATACTGTAAGGGATTGGCAGTAGCGGGATGCTGCCTAGGTGGGGGGGGGACACAACATTAATAAGGGTACCTGATCTCAAACCAGGCAAAGTGGGGACCAAAGTGAGGCCCAAACTTTACCTGTACAATGTCCACTTGTATACCTAATCCTGAATTGCACCCCACATCTTTAAAGTAAAATATAAAAATAAATAAATAATTAAATAAATAAAACTAAAAAAATAAAGAATAGAAAGGAAGGGACAGATTTGAATGCAGAAAAGCTACAGTTGGAGACATAGTTGATGAAAACGTGTGCTCTTTGGTAAGGGGTACCTCCCTCTCCTTTCTTTGTTGCTTGATACTATAATGGCAGAGACATGAGAGCCAGTGACCTCATGTATGAAAATATAGATTAAGGACCTCAGAAAAAAATATGACTTATCTCTAAATATAATATATATTCTAAAAAATAATTACAACTTCCATGCTAACACATTATTCAATTTTATTTTAAAATAAACATGCTTATATTTAAATTAATACTTCATATTATTGTATGATTTTTAAAGTGGAAATGTGAGTCACAGCTACTTGACTGTAATGTGGACTTGATACTTAAGAAAGAACACATTTTAGACAAAAAATCATTTGTCTTCAGCTGTAGTTCTGGCTATAGCTCTGGTGTTTTTTAATAATCAAAAGATGAAACAGAGTCAGAGAAACAATAAATAGGGAGATGGAAAGAACTGAATGTAAGAATAAACTTTTTAGATGAAAAAAATGCATCTTGAGGAGGAAAAAATATATAGCCACTAGCCGGGCTCAGTGGCTCAGCCTGTAATCATATGCCTTTGGGAGGCTGAGGTGAGTGGATTGCCTGAGCCCGCGGGTTCGAGACCCGCCTGGACAGCAAGACCTCCTCTCTACAATAAATCAAAAAATCAGCCGGGCGTGATAGCGCATGCCTGTAATTCTGGCTACTTGGAAGGCTGAGGCGGAAGGATCGCCGGAGCCCAGCAGGTCAAGGCTGCGGTGGCCGGGAGCAGCCACTGCACTCCAGTCTGGGCGACAGAGTGAGACTCAAAAAAAAAAAAAAAAAAAAATTTATATATATATATATATAAATTTATATATATATATATAGCCATGAAGTTAGATTAAGCTAGGACTAATATGAGTCAGTTCTTCAAATTAATAAATATTAGAAATGTGAGATTTCCATAGAAGCTTAAAGAGGGTGTTTTAAAGACAGAATTAACTTTATGTACTGAATGTAACATGGGACTCATTACTCTCATCCTATAGCTCATTATTCTCATACTATACTGTTATGGAAGAAAACTGTAAATGAGTTTAAAGTATGTAACATGCATGGACAGCAGCTCTACAATAGGTTATTATGGGAAACCGGAGATTTCTTTTTAGTTTACATGTCCCTTAAGATTTCTTTTAGATATAAAGTACCAAGTAAAATATATAAATGCACGTATTTTGCAGTCTGCTGAAATTTATACATTGTATAATTTCCCTAGTCCTACCTTTTATTTATATAATTTCTCTACCATAATATGAATTATTTTTACTCTTATCATATATGTATTGCTACCTTACATGAGTTATTGATAATGCTATTTAGTCATTTAAAATTTCTATCTAGAAGTGGAAAAGAAAAGCATTAATTTTCACAAATTATATTCTTGACATTTAAAAAGATATACATGTGATCTGAAGATGATAGATATTTCTTTTTAAATTAACACATTTTGTGCTTTCTCTAGGCTGGAATGATAAAAAGTGATAATGAAGAGTATTTCATTGAACCCTTGGAAAGAGGTAAGCAGATGGAGGAAGAAAAAGGAAGGATTCATGTTGTCTACAAGAGATCAGCAGTAGGACGGGCTCCCATAGACATGTCCAAAGACTTCCACTACAGAGGTAGGCATCTTTGATGGGGCTTAGTAATTAAACATAATTTTAAAATATGATGAAAACAGCTCCTCTACCATTACTTAAGAGAACATGATTATCATGTGCTCTTGTATAGTGTCAAGGGGGACAAAGAAGATTTTATTTATATATCATGAAATATGGCTTGCCTTTGAAAAAATGCGTAGAGTATATGCTATAGCTATTTATCCCACATGCATTATACTATCTTTAATATGTTTGTTGTTTATGATTTCTTTATTTTTTTATTTTTTTGAGTTGGAGTCTCACTCTGTCGCCCAGACTGGAGTGCAGTGGCTGCTCCCGGCCACCGCAGCCTTGACCTGCTGGGCTCCGGCGATCCTTCCGCCTCAGCCTTCCAAGTAGCCGGAATTACAGATGCGCGCTACCACGCCTGGCTAATTTTTTGATTTTTATTGTAGAGATGAGGTCTTGCCTGCCCAGGCGCGTCTCGAACCCGCGGGCTCAGGCAATCCACTCACCTCAGCCTCCCAAAGGCGCAGGATTACAGGCTGAGCCACTGAGCCCGTCATGATTTCTTTTAAAAAAACTTTACATTGAAAATATCTTTCCTCTAGCTTATATTAACATTTGCAAATATTTGTGCTTTTCAGAAGTCCCTAAATATGAAATATTGTTATTGTAAATCTTTTAAGGACCTGTATTGGCATGACAAAGAGTTGCATTTTGTTTTAAGACCAGTATGATGGATATACTTGAAAATAATTATACTATTTGATTGCAAAGTCTGTTTTGTAAAACTTTTTACTTTGTGAAGGAGACAATGAGTCAAATTCTTCTATAGAATTTTATTCCAAAGTAGTTGGAAATCACTGAAGTCAAGTCAGTCATGGCACATGAAAGTTTTCTGTTTTGTTTGTTTCAATGAAATCTGAAAGTAACTTGGTATTAAGGAGATATGCTTATAAGTTAGATACAGAAGATTCCTTTATGGAAAGAAAGGCACTCTAGGGATAGATATATCTATCTATCTCCAAATCTCAAGAAGTTTGTGTTACTTTTGCCAGGAAATTTTTCTTATTTAAGAATAAAGAAATTTCCTTGATTGAAATGCCAGGGATATAAATAATGTTAATTTAGCAATAATATGCCTTCCAGATTAGTTTGATTTTTCAGATGCTATTAGCTTTCCTTAATATGCTGCACTAATGAAATAGTATTACAGTTTAAAATAATTTTAAAGTTAGCACAGCCAAAAAACTTTTAATGAACTTATGATTTGAAACAACAGGACTATATTAATAAATAGAGTCTCATGAAATGTATATCTAACTTACGAGAGTCACTCTGATATAACAGAAAGGGAATGAGCTTTGTAGTTAGACTTAATGTGATTAATCTCTCTGCAACATCAAGTTGTTCTGTTACCTTAGATGAACAATTAACATTCTGAGCCATGATTTCTTTATTTGTGAATACAGAATTAAAATATATCCACAATCGCAATGGCTATTAGACAATATATGCAAATTTCTGAGTGTAGTGTTCAACAAGAGTAGGTGCCTAGTCAAGGTAAGCTGTTGTTAACTATTGATATTAAGTATCTTTGCAAGAGATTTTCATGTTAGTTTTGTTTAAGTGGACCAGTTAGACATTGTTTGCCTTCCTGTTGTGAATACATTACTCTTAATTCTCCCTTGTGTTTTCATATTCTAAAAATGTCATTCTAAATTAGAAGATTGATTATGTTGAAAAATAGATGTAAGGATACAGTGCCTTTTCTATAAGTCTTAGTTGTTTCATATTACTAATATCTAATTTTAGGAGGGGGATCACCAAAACACCTGAAATTTATTTATAAAAAATTGTGTATTTATTCTTACATGTTTAAATTTCATTCACCTTCAAAGTACTCTCTGATGCAATACACCTATCAAGATGCTTTTTCCACTGTTCAAAACCATTTTTGAACACGTCAATTTTGATACATTTTTGATATCTTCTGCTATTTTTTGTTTTACCTCTTCCACATTGGCAAAACATTTTCGAGGACTTTTTTCATTCAGGGAAACAAAAAAAGTCACTCAGGGTGAAATTGGGTGAATAGGGAGGTTGGGGCATGGGGTCATGCTCTTTTTGGTCGAAAACTACTGAACACTCAGCACAGTGTGAGCAGTTTGTTTATGTAAATCACCCATCATGAAACAGGCAAATGTAGCCGGGCATGGTGGTGCATGCCTGTAGTTCCAGCTACTTGGAAGGCTGAGGCGGAAGGATCACCTGAGCCCAGCAGGTCGAGGCTGCAGTGACTGTGAGCGTGCCACTGCACTCCAGCCTGGGAGACAGAGTGAGATTCGAACTCAAAAATAAATAAATAATTAAAAAATAAAAAAAAAGAAAGAAAGAAAGAAAAGAAAAAAAAAGAAATGGGCAAATATATAGAAAGAATTGCCAAAAAAATTCACTGAAGTCAAGCGCAGCTTCTCACAACAACACTAGCTGGTATGCCAATGGGTTCCTAGAACATTTACCCAGCTGAGTAAGGGGCCCTTCTTCCAAAAGATAATTCTTGGTTGTTTTGGGTTCCCCTTGCAAGCAAAGTGTAAATATCTTTTAGAAAAGCATAGGCCACATGTTATGGAATTGTTCGGGATAACTAAAAGCCACTTCAGTTGCTGTGACTGTTTGTTCTCGCATTAGCTCTGTCTGTCATAACTATTGTTTCATCAGGCTGTATCTTATTACTACATTTCAATTCCTGGAGCTATTTATATAAATATTAGCCCTGGTACTTTCTGTTAGTCTGATATTTACAGGGAGGAGAAAATATTTATTTTTTGGAATAAGAAAATTACAAGAAATATTATATTTAGTACCTATTATATTTTTAGATGATAAAATAGGGAAAATAATTTAATAGCTAAGGTATATACACTTAAAGGAACTGGGTGGGATTAAGAAAATTTGGAACATTATTTTAAAAAATTGTTCAAAATATCAATTCCAGTAGAATGAACATCAACATCAACACACTTAGTTTACAATAAGTTGTTTTTAAGAATGCAGACACTGAAGACTCTTTATTTTGAGTTTTTCAGTTATGAGTAGAGAATTGTATGATAGAAGTAGGCCACAAACTAGAGTAATACAATTTGGGAAAGGTTTTAGTGGTCATGGGTCAAAGGAAAAGGAGTTTCTTTGCTACCTCTTGAATACCTTAAAACCTGAATCAAAATAGAACTATTCAGTTCTCTTAGAATGTTCCATGATAAACCTTATTATGAGCTTAAGGATTTCTACTTATTTATGAAGTTCTGATTGAATTGAGTTATGGGTGATATCAGTCCACCTCCTTTTGAGTATCTTAAATTATAACCATATATGTTAGAAGTGTAACTCTCTTCCCTAGGGTAAAAAGTGATTCAGATTCAGAACTTTCAAGTACCACACTGTAGCTCTTAAATTCTTCTTTTAACTTCTTGGTCACATGACTGAGAGCCATGTTTTCTCATAGACTAAATACTTTCCAGTTGTAAATTAAAAAAAAAATTTTGTAATGTATTTCATCATTCTATGGTATAAAATTGAACAAATTATAGGATTAGAAAGGTATATTAATTTATAAATGAAAACTAAAGTGCCATATAAGGTAATGCTTTTTCTGGATTAATTCAAGATGTTATTTTAGGAGACATGTGAAGTTTTTCTTAATGAGTTATATAGGAAGAGAAATACAATTCAGAAGCTAGGACTAGTGAGAAATGTGTTTGAGAACTGTGGTTTTCCTGCATTTCTCTGACAGCACATCATCAGTAGGAGAGTTGATCATAAGGAAGCCATTTCTGATCCTTCAGGGTTTCATCAGCAGGGCTTCTGTAAATATTCTCCCATATCTTGCTGGTTGTCACAGTAATTGCCTGGCTACATTTCCTGCTTTGACAGTGTAGTACCTCAGAACTACTATTCATTTAAGTTCTATAGTATGTTGCAAGTGTCCTACATTAAAATCTATTAGGACTTGGACTAGGTGAATAGTAGTAAGATGTAGTAAGATGGAGAGATGGAACCACCTTGGGTAGAAATTGAAGTAAAACTGAAGGAGTTTTGTGATGGAGTAGATGTTGGTGTTGGGGGGAGGAGAGAGAGAGAGAGAGAGAGAGATCTCAATTATGACTCAGAATTTTAAACTAGAAGACTAAGAAGACTAGAGAATTCTCTTTCCAGAATTCAGATATATAAATTGAGAAACAGAAATAGGCTTGATGAAGGATGGCATGTGAATACAACTCAGGGTGGATTAGGTTAGAAGATCTATTGGAACAGAGTGAATTAAATAAAATGCATAGCAAATTTGCATAATCATGTCCTAGAGTCAATCCACAAGTGACCTTATATATGTGTTGTGGTAAGGTTGGAAAGAGATTAGCCGGGAAGTCAGGTGGCAGCTATTGGCTTGTGGAAGGTTGGAATATCTCTGCTTGCCTGTACTCAACTGTATCAGAATCTGCCAATGAAAGGTATACATTGCACAGCATTGGGAGCTCATGAAAGACATTTGCAATAGTTGAGGATATTATGTCCTCAAAAACAAAACTGAAACTAGAATCAAAACATACATTATGCTTCTACTACACTCGAGAACCCCAAGCTATTCCACTTGACCAAATGCAAACATCCATTTGCATTTCCCATCCCCTAAGAATATTCACCTCAGTTTCCAGTAAATGTCACAGCTTTCAAACTGTTGAAGTATATCAAATGGTATGATTCAACAACAACAAAAACCTCTTAATTATTCCCTTATATAGCAGATTTTCCTTCCTTGACTCTCAGTAGGGAAATTGTATTGTTTTTGCAATATGAAAAAAAATGAAGAACTGTTTAAAAATATATTGAACTAACTAGTAAAATCACAGATGCAGTACTCCGTGTCATCCTTCTCGTTAAACAACAAAAATAGATTCGGTATGCTTATGATATAAAGAAACGTGTCTACTTCATTATGGTTCTTCCTTTTAAGTTATGGT